TATCTAATATATTTTAATTACGAATAATTATAAATAAATTTAAATAAATATATATATATATATAATTAATTATTTAAAATAAATAACCAATATATTCGGATAAAATATAAAATATTAAAATTAAATATATAAATAAATAAATTATAATTTATATAAAATAAAAATCAAATTCTCAAATATAATTGTAATATTTACCCCGATATTAAAATTTCATCCCATATCCCCTTATCTTAAGGAATTTTTATTGGATTTTATTAGGAATCTTATTTTCCTTGGGTAGCTCCAGATGCGCCAATGCGCGCGAAAGATTTGCTTGGTACAAAAATGGAAAGTATTGCTTACTTCGGGCAAGCGCCATAAAACACATAATAGTATGATTTAAAATTATAGATAACAAGAAGTAATTAAATATATAATAATTCTCCCTTATTATGCATTCTCTCTTATTATGCATTCTCTCTTATTATGCATAGTGATATATATATATATATATTTAATTGTCTAGTCAATGATTTCTCAAATCGTATTGCTGATTTTTTGCCCTCGGTTCGAAGTAGCCCAGGTCGTCCAGTTGATCAATTCTTCTTCTTCTTCTCCAATTTCTTCTTGTAAAAGACCAACTCCTTCAAGAGTGGACATAAGGGATCTTCCATCTTCCGTGTTGCTTCATGTTCTCAGGACATGTCAGCGTTGTGCATGAGAATTTCCAACTTGTCGTGTAGGTTGCTGGAATATATTGCGTCATATCCCACAAAAAATAACCATTCTTGTTGGTTAAATCATCTTAGATTCCATATCCCCAATTTAATATGAACTATATTTACTAAATATTAGAATATAAATAGTCCATATCCCCAATATTAATATGAACTATATTCCATATACCATATCACCATATTATTACCACATTGGTTAGATCCCAATTTTCTTGGTGAAACCACCAAATCACCATATCTCCAGCAATTCCACATGTTTCGAATCGGCCTCACCCTCCAAGACATAGCCATCCGCACGACCGCATTGTCCAGGGCGGGAGGCGATGCAGGCCAACAGACGACCACTTTGGAACCTCCAGAGTAAGAGAATTTGGCCGTTTAGATTAATCTATGGCTATATTAGATTAATCTATATAAGATAATCTAAGCTTAATATTAGAAAGAAAGTTTATTATTGTTTGTGGTTAATATGAAAATATTAGATACTAGATTCATCTTTCTCAATTTATTATTAGATATTGTTGATTATCTATGGTTAGTGTTACTAATCTATGGTCACTTAACCACCTTAGTATCTACAGTTAATATTGTTGGAGAATCTGTGGTTATTCATGGTAAATAGTAATATTAACTGAGATTAACCTCCAGATATTCTTGGTTACAGTAATAGATTTTAACCAGGGATTAAGATGTTAAGCTATTGATTGTAGGATCCATGGGTAGTGACTGGGATATCTTTCTAGATATGCATGTATGTATAGGTCAGTGCATAAATATAGTGTACAAATATATGATAACATATAATGTATAATATATACTATATAATATAATATATAACATATAATATATAATATATAATATATAATATAAAATATCTAGTATATCATATCTGAAATATAATAAAAAATAAAAAAATATATATATAATGTATAATATATAATATATAACAAATAATATATAATATAAAATATATAATATAATATATATATAATACATAATATATAATATATGATATAATATATAATATAATATATAATATAATATATAATATAATATATAATATATAATATATATAATATAAAATATATAATATATAATATATATAATATAAAATATATAATATATAATATATAACATATATAATATATAATATATAATATAATACATATAGTTTAATATATATATAATATGACATATAGAATATAAAATATATAATACAATATATATATATATATATCATACATCTTATACATATAATATCTTATATTATATATACATAATGTCTTATATTGTATTATATTGTATTATATTATATTATAACATAATACAATATAATAAAAATACAATACAATATAATATAATATGATATACATAATATTATGATATATATATAATATTATATATAATATATAATATATACATATATCATATATACATATATCATATATCATATATTATATATTATATATTATATATTATATATTATATAATATATTATATATTATAATATAATATAATATAATATAATATAATATATATATACACTATATAATCACCATCAATCGTATATATGCATATATTATCATAACTCATATAGTGAGAGAGAGAGAGAGAGCCAGTTATAAGCCTCCACAATAAGCCGGACCTTGGTTAGCCTCTAGTGTAACTCAGCATGGATACCAGGGATCATCCCAGAACGAACCGACCATCTCTCAACGTGACAACATGTACACTGAATGTGCACTGTATGCAGAAACAAAGATGAATTATGCACAAGCTTTCCAAATCCAAATCATACGGAAGAAGTGAAGGAGTAGGAAGCAACGAACTGCAGCATTTATGTTAAACCATAAAACGATATCAAACGTGTGTGTGTGTGCCAAAATGCAAAGTGATTTAGCTATATCCAGTAGCTGAGCTGTACTAATTATTGGTCCTTTACATCCTTGGTGAAAAAAGAAGTTTCCCGCGAGAAATTCCTGGGTTTCCCCCAAAGTTTAGGGTCAAGGTCCTGAGTGCCTTCCCCAATAAGTCTGATCAATCAACGTTCGTCATATATTGGACTACATGATCAATTCATATCAATTCGAACATTTTGAACTACTATCTCTTGTTCCACACATCATGCCATTCAAGTTAAACACCACCTTTTACTCCTCTCACCTGAAAAAAAACGCCGCAAAAAAAAAAAAACCTCAGTCAGCAACTTTTTTCCATCCGTTTACCCTCCCGGAATCAATGATGGCGTGCTGGAAAATCCCAACCGTTCCTGGATGATTTCCTATTTTCACCTCCATTTAGTTCGGGGATATCCCAGCCATGTGTGATTACCAGAGGTTAATTCCATTATTAATAATTCATCACCATTAATCACCATTAATCCATATTGATCCCCATCAATCACCATTACTCACTATTAACCGTTCTTATCCATGCATAATAATTCACTAATCTGAAATAAAGCCACCGATCTTCCCTTTGGCCGGCCCCCTCCCCGCAAGCAAGAGAGAACCGGTTAATCTGAAATAAAGCCATTTGGGGATGATTCTCCATTAACATAAAGCATCATCAACCAGGCGTCTCGGTCGTTTCGGCTTCGGTCGTCTCTGGCTTCCCGCCGAGTAGCTGCTCTTCCAAGGTATTGTCCAATTTGGTCTTGGCGGCACGTGCTTTCTGCTTGGCGATCACCTCAAAAAACGCGTTACTACGCGAATGCTGTGACTTTCACCAGCAAGACATTGGCATGTGATGTATATATATATATTATATATATTATATATTATTATATGTATATATTATATTATTATATGTATATATTATATTATTATATGTATATATTATATTATTATATGTATATATTATATTATTTTTTGTTTTTATTATATTATATGTACTATTTATTTAACATATTATATTGGGATTTAACATGACTTAACCATGAACCATGGTGATTTTTCATGGGATTCAACACGACTTTAATCATGATTTAACCCAGCCACCCGGGATATGGATGGATATGGGGTGAACTGCGAGACCTTTGGGAACCAAGAGCCATTCTATTTCTCAGCGCTGGAAACATTCAGAAACCGCGAAAAAGAATAAAAAAGACATGTGACAAGTGCATTTAACTGCAGTCGTTGCAGTTTCTGTTTCTTGTTTTCTCATGGGACAAAACAGGCAGCGTGACACCAGACACCAAGTTGGCTCAGTCACATGTTTGCTACGCTTTTGCTCCTCCTCCTGCACCAATCTTGCTGGGGGCCATAGGAGTTCACTGACCTGGATAATTGTTTGGCCATTTTGGGATGATTCCGCTTAGTCACCATCATTATGAAGATCTTGGTAATTGCAGGTGATACTTTCTGATTTTGTTTGCGCAGCTGAGTCTTGGGACGTCTTGGTGGCCTATCCGTTGTGATGCCCAATCACAAAGCAACCCCATGACCATCTGTGAAGCCACACTTTTAATATTCTTGTAGAAGGTGCATCCCATAGCCTGCAACCACCATGATCCAGCACCACCCCCAACGTCCTGCTTTTCCTCCTTCGCGGCCGCCTTCTTCTTTTTGCCCACATCCACGCCGTATTTCTTCAGGTACCACTGCATGAACCTACGGAAGTAACGTTCAACATGGACCTGTCATTGACTTGTGAATGTGACCTATTCTGGATGAAGAACGATGAACATGTCCACAGTGTATACCAAAATGTGTAGGCTTTGCAAGGCCATCATATGCGCAGCGGCACCCATGCTGAGTTGATCCTAAGCTTCCAGCGGATGGGCATCAATCTGCACCACGGTGTTCTTCAGCAAAGTCTTGGTTCCTCAGCCCGCGGCTTAGCTGGAGGCTTTAGGGAAACTGGGTACAGGAATAAAAAATTGAGCTAGGGCAGCTGGAGGTCCTGTCCAATCCGCCAAAATGACCATATATGTGCATTTTGTACATATATATATATATGTGTGTGTGTGTGTACATATCTATCTACACATATCTATCTATCTATCTATCTATCTACCTACCTACCTAGCTATCAATCCATCCATGCATCTAATCCTCATATATGAATTATATCATGAATCATTTTTTTTACATGTATACTATCTATATTACAACGAACATTATACTATCTATATATATATCCCAACATGGTTCCACGTAGATTAACCCAGCATGGTCTTGGGAGTCCCAGGGTCGCACCAACTCGTTGCTGGTGGCGTTGTACACAACCTCGGCAAGGCCCGCGGCGACTCGGAACTGGGTTTCACGGAAAAAAACACGAACTCGTAACGACTCGTAACTTCAAGATACTTCAAGTGATGTTCAATCTTTAATATCTTCAGGTTGGAACGTGATTGAGATGCTCGGGAAACTAAAGTAGCTGCAGCCTGAATATGAACACTCCTGGATACCTCAGTGGATGAAGTCCCCGAAGTCCCAAGTTTCCGCTCCCATCATGAAGCATCGACAAGACACATCCAAGATCCTAACCTTCTTGGTGACATTCTCCTCATTGGGAATTGGGAAGTGGATAAAAATCAGAGATGCTTGGACCGAATCTCAGCAGGACCCCAAACAAACTTTGAGAAGATGGATATGGGTCATTATGTTTAAAACAAACGTGTATAAATATATATATATATGTATATATATATATGTGTGTATTTATTTATAATATATATATAAGTGTGTATATATATAGGGATCAGATAGATTGATCCAAAAAAGGACGGCTTATGTTCTTCGACATTGCGATTTTTGAAGATCCGCTACTTCCAGGACCAACACCATTTGACCATTGGTTGAATAATCGCATTCATGACCATCATCACCATCACCATCACCACCATCACCACCATCACCACCATCACCACCATTACCACCACCATCATCATCACCCATAGGTCCATATGCCATAGGCCATATCCCATGTCATATCCCATGTCATATCCCATGTCATATCCCATGTCATATCCCATGTCATATCCCATGTCATATCCCATGTCATATCCCATGTCATATCCCATGTCATATCCCATAATATCCCATCTTCATATCTCATCCATCATGCACCATCACCACCAAGCGCACCATTACCGCTCGGCAAGGGACCGAGCCCCAGGCGTAGTTGCCGGCGTCCAGTCGGAGGGCCCGGTACTTCATGTTGCCACCGCGGCAGCGCACGCTGCGGACGCGCTTGGCACCCAACTTGCAGGGAGTGGCGGGGCGACCCATTTCCTGAGGGCCGCTGATCTTGGGGACTTTTGGGGACTTTTGGGTCAGGCTGGGGCTGGAAAAATCGAAGTTTTTCGGGCCGCTGAGGTTTTTTGAGGAGATACCACTTAAAAGGCTGTGTCTCTTTTTTGTATTCAAATGTGGTATCACCATGTATCACCCCCAGTTTATGAACATGTCCGTGGGGAAATGAGGTTTTCAACTTTCAACCAGTGGTTTTTGTCGGTGTGAATCCCCCAGTTTTGCAGGCCAGCCACATACTTTCGCTTCTTGATGGAGGTCTTACTCCTTCCGCCGGTCTTGTAGTGCTTGTGTCGAGAATCGCGGCCGATTCCCATGGCTGCCAGCAGGGGACAACAACTTTGAACAGGGGGCAATCCTCGAAGCCAACACAAAACCAGGTTTTCCCATACATCCCACGCCGAGTCCTGCTATTGGTCTGTAGAAACCAGTGATGGCCCTGCAGCATAAAGCAATCTATGAACACATCACGAGTCCATGAGATCTCAAGTTTTTCTAAGTCAGCGTACGAATGAAACGATGGCTACAAACCAAAAGAGCTGATTTCGATGATTTTCCAATGCGGTTCTTGGTGGCTTCCAAGAATCGAAGTTTCAAGTGATGAATCCCCAAGCGCCAACTCTACAGCCAGCCAGACCTCTTGCATCACACAGTGGCCCTTGTTTTTGCCTTGCCAATCCACCCATCGTCTGCCATGCCCTCAGAACTTCAGCTCGTGAGGGTACATGTTGGCCGAGAGCGAGAATCGCGACTTGAGGTAGCTCTTCACATCGTTTCCCAGGCTCTTCACAATGGCATCGTCCAACTTCTTCTGCCCGTCCTTCTTCCTGGGTCATGTGCCCAGAAACAGAATGTAGAAACCATAGCGGGAACTTACCAACGCCATTTGAGAAGGCTACTTTCCAAAAGATCAGTTCAAATGGGATCCTCGTTTGGACATGTTTGGAATAATTGCAGGTGAACAAGAAATAAAACTACCATCGACATCCATCAACCCCAAATCAGCTCGCCAGTTTGCTTGTTGAATACTAGGTAGTGTTTGGTTTCATCCTTCATTGGGAAGGGCTGACAACAAACAGTCACAAGTCACCACCAGGATCATCACTCAAGGAGGAGTGGACGCTCAGCGTCCACTTGCCCAACATGGCTATCCCTGGAAAATCACATGGTTCATAGATTGTTTTCCCAGATATAAACCTCTATAATCATTTGTAGAGGAGATATATATAATATAATGATGATACTAACAATAATGATAATAAGAACAACATCATGATTGTTTAATTACCATTAATATACTATTGTTTGTAGAGGATATATATATAATATAATGATATATCATATCATGGACTTCCCAGCCGGCTATGTTTTAATTACCTGCCACCATTTTTCCCGCGCCAGGCTTCTCTTGCGCCAGGACCTTCTTTGGCGCCTCCGTGGCGAAGAATTTCCTCGGTTTTTCGGTCGCGTCTTTTGTGTCCCCTTCAGATCAATAAACGTGCAAGAACTACCATCTGGTTACAGTAATTAACATAGTAATGAAAATGGCCCATTTATAGATGGTTTACCAATTATAAATGGTGATTTTCCATGGCTATGTTAATTAACCAGAGGGTAAATGATTAATGTAGAGAACTTGTTAATTCTTAGGGGAACTTGTTAGGAGAAAAGTGTTTTGTTTATGGTTATCTTCTCATGAACATGTAATGTCTTGGGAACTTCTAAGAAACCCATGTTCGGCCATTCTGCAGCCACTGTCACGACTATGACCTCGGGGTCCACCAGCTGATTACAAGCGCTTAGCGATCAATAAACTGCCCAACGCCAGCGAAACCAAAGTGGTTCTATCCCACCATCCCCAACCATCATCCACCATTATCCCCAACCCTCAGCATTCTCCCCTCCCAATCATCCCCAAAACAGGTGCATCTTTGGTTTGACTCTCATATTCTGACAGATCGAACTGGCCATATTTGTACTTTGCTTCATAATATGTCATAATCAATTAGAATCATCCAGGTCCTGACTTCTTTGTTGGATCATGCACCTAACTCCTCCAAAAAAAAACTCCCTTGGCCTTTTGAGACCCGTCAAGTTGCTCCTGGCTCTTGGCGCTCTTGGTCTTCTCCCTGCCGAAGTAGGCGTCCGTAATGGACTTGCAGTCCTAAGAAGCAGAGCTGAGGGAGTCCACTGATTCTCCAAGTTTGGGGCTGATGGTAAATCATCTACAAAACAAATGAAAGGACAAAACAATATATATATATAATGTAAGACAGTATCTTGCATAATAGTAAATTGAAGATCACCATGATGCAAGCATTCACGAGTATTTTATCAACACCTATGTGAACGTCATGGCAATCATCAAAATTATTTTCGTATCGTTGGGCGATACCAGGACTGCGGTGGGAATTGTAGGTTTTGCGACGTCCCATTTGCAACTGGTCAGAGGCCAACATAGGCCATAGTTTGCAAATAACTTTGCTAATTACGTGCAGAAAAAAGGCTTTTGACTTATGGATCCTGACCCCCAGAAAGACTTCACATATCACCATGGATTGAAGATGAGTGCAGCGCAGAATCAGTTGGCCGAAGAAAATGACAGTAAATTTTAAAACCGACCCTCCCAAAAAAGATGCTTTGATACACCTATAATCATCGTTTTTGTATACATACATATATTCCCATTATGGGTATGTCTATATATATATATATACATATATACATATATACATATATACATATATACATATATACATATACATATACATATACATATACATATATATATATATACATATATATATATACTTATGTTGACTATGGTATTTCTGCACCCAGACAGGTCCTCACCCTGTCCACTTAAAATTCCCAGCTTCAGCGCCACTGACGTCCACCTTGGTGCTGGTGGCGATGCAGTAGCGCTGGTTCACGCGCTTCAGAGGCACGCCGTTCAGGGCGAAAGGTCCTGGGGATCAAAGCTGGCTACAACAGGTTGGGCGTATCGGCAGGGATATTTTTTCTATTAATGGGTTTTTTTTAGGGATGATAACTAACCATACTAACCAACTATTTATTAGCATTGTTGCTGTTATTGTTATTAGTGGTACTATTATTATTACTAGTGTTATTATTATTATATATATATTTATATGTGTGCAATTTGGGTTTGTGTGAAACAGATTTACCTTCATTTGATGGCCATTGCAAAAGGCAAATGAGGTGTTTAAACTATGGGATTTGGGGGCGTATCCTATTTTCTGACAAAGGCAAGTGAAGATACGTACTGTCATAAATGATATCCAAAAATTGGGAATTTACCCAGAAACATGGCGGTATAAACTACCAACCGCTTTGTGATCCATAGTGGGGATACAATGGTATACAATGAACCCAATAACAAACCCCCGTTCGGGGTCCAGTCTTTACTCCAAATCTGGGCTCCCAAGCAGTCAACATCCTCTGACACAAACGTGGTTCAGTGGTTTTTCAGACCCCATGGCAGCTGGTTTTTTTCGCATTCAAATCGGGTGGTGTTCATCTCTGTTTCACTTCCATGGCTCCAATCCTCCACAGCCATGGCTCCTTCAGAGCCGAACGCGAACGAGAAGAGTTTCTGAAACGTGGCATGATCGCCGATCATCGGAATACAGTGCAATGATTCAACTAGTACATCTATCACCCAATACGCTTTGAGGATCTTTGAGGTGCATTGCCCGCAACTAGTTGCAACTAGTTTGGAGATCTGTACAAAACCCTCTTAAGCAGGTCTCTGTCGTGAAACTATTTCAAGCATCGGTCAGAAGATCAGCCAAGATCCGTCAGCCTCAGACAGAGACCACTGGCTCCACTGGGTCCACTGGGTCCCGCGTCTGAGACGCTGATTGCCGCTGAGATTTTCCCGGCTCGGTGACGAGGAAGGCCTATCGGCCTATCCAAATGCAGCCGGCAGTGCTCACACCGAAGCTGGCTCCTTGGTTGGGATTCGAGGGAAAGCGCTGAAGCGCCGTGGATTGATGACTTGCATCGTTGCACCTGAAGCTCCATAAAGTACCCGAGCTGGACTGCGGCCCCGCGTCGAAATCCTGGCCCCAGGTCCTTCAGTTCCATCCACGGATGCATGGTGAAGCTGAGCCAACACCTTTGACTTCTCTTGAAGCTGAATCTTATGACTTTCCTGGCAAGACATGGGTCATTAAATGTCCCCATTGAAAAGTTCACCCAACCATTAGGTATATGGTCTATAGTGGCTACTATAAGGTGATGTCCAATATTCCCAAAATGGGACAGTTACCAACCCCTGCAAGATGACACTAAACTACACATTAAAAAAAAGCTGGTCATTTGTTGGGGAATAAACGCGATCACACTTCATCAGCGCTTGGTGGTTGAGCCGAAAATATCCCTGTCACTGGGCCACCTTGAACGCTGGGAAATCAGGAGTGTTTAAAGTAATCCGCAATGGTTGTTAATTACAGGCTGTCACTTCCTCATTTTTTGGGTAGATAAACTGATCCATTTTGGGCTGATGCATATCTCCGATTTTTGGTTGGCCAGTATAAGCATTCTTGTTGGCAACCAACATTGGAAACCCAACAAATCTATACAAATCCGGCAAAATCCAGCAAAATCTGTGTAATTAATCAGAACCAAGCTTCAAGCTCCTCCAACTGCCGCTGCAACTGCCATGCTTCATGATGCAGGGAGATGTCTTGCAGACCCTTGAGAGGGGGTGGTTCAGAACAACCTCCCTCCATCTGTGTAGTCTTCGGCATGCCATCTGCGAACTTCGGGTAGGGAATCTGCAAGGGATTGGGAGCCGAAACGGAACTACCTGGCGTCCGGGACATTCCTGCCAAACCGCAACTTTGGGCAAAGTGCCTGCAGGATCCAAATGCCGTTGGGATTGTCACATCGGACTAGCAGCTAGGCTTTTCCCACAAAATCAGATGGGTCACCTCCAACGGAAAATTCACATCGAAGGTCTAAAAAAAATGTGGCCCCTAGCTTTTCCATAGTCCATGGCTTTGTTTGAACAGGTCACCCTTCAAGTTTCTGTGGGGGCTCCCTCCACATGCCAGGTCATCTAGGTCATCCAGGTCTACGCCGTCCTGTGACCAGCAACATGCCGCTCTCCAACCTCAGAGGACGATGCTAATCCCATTGGAATAACGCTGTGGATCTATTTTTCCAATGGTCCTGTAGATGTACACCTCCTGTCACTGCTGGGCCATTGAATTTACATAGAAAAAATAGCCGTATATGAGTCTCCCAGGTGGGAGTTTAGAGTTTATAGCGTGGAGCCACTCAAAATTGGGTTTGGAATGTGATTTTCCTATTGAATGTGGCCATTTTAGGGTTCAATGATATTTCACACAAATGCACTTATTCATAAATTGAAATGGTAACCTGGTAACCTTTTTTTTACGACTGAAATCTGCACGAAACCTGAAGAATGATGTTGCGACATGATTTTCAGCGTATCATGTTTGGGGTTCCATTAATATGTGAGATTTCCTGTGGAAACGACCCACAATTGTTCGAGAAATGGTTCAGAAGACTAAACTGGTTTGTGCTTGCCAGCCATCTCAAGAGTATCAGAGTCAAGTGGGATTCTCATGGTATTTCTAGGAATGGAAAATAACATCAACCACAAACCAGACTACCAGGACAGGAAACCACAAAATCTGAGCACCAGCCCGCAGATAATCGTGGGATCCCTGTTTTCTGCTGCTCAAATATTCATTTGGATCCATCCCACAGGGGTTCTTGTGAGGAAAATCCATGGATTTTCACATTGATCAACCCCTTCTTTTTGGATAAAAACCATGTCCACTATTGGTTTTCACATGTTCCCAGTGGAAAAAAACCAGCACTTGGAGGCAAATCCACCAAATTACCTTGGGGGGAAAGAACATTCCATGATACTGTGGATGGGCCAGTGAAATCCTGCGCCAGTTGATGGTGAAATCCCGTTATTTATAGTGTTTCAACCATCCAAGATGGTGATTTCTGAAGCATCCACACAGAAAGTAGTCCCAAAGATTCCCACCCAGCATTTTCGGAAGACCACGAGACTGCTTCAAGAAGACCACGCGTTTGCCCCGGAACTTGCTGGCCAGCAAGATGAGTACTTGACCTTTGGATTGCTTGAAATCATGGCTGCAAGTTGATATTGAATGTGATGTAGATTTACAGGTAGATGGGTAGATGGGTAGATGGGTAGATGGATAGACAGATAGATAGATAGATTAGATTAGATTAGATTAGATTTAGATTTAGATTTAGATTTAGATTAGATTAGATTAGAATTTAGATTAGATTAGATTAGAATAGATAGAGAGATAGGGAGATAGAGAGATAGAGAGATAGAGAGATAGATAGATAGGGAGATAGAGGTGAGAGGTAGATAGAGAGGTAGATAGAGAGGTAGATAGAGAGGTAGATAGAGAGGTAGATAGAGAGGTAGATAGAGAGGTAGATAGAGAGGTAGATAGAGAGGTAGATAGAGAGGTAGATAGAGGTAGAGGTGGATGGATGGATGGATAGGTAGATAGGTAGATAGGTAGATAGGTAGATAGGTAGATAGGTAGATAGGTAGATAGGTAGATAGGTAGATAGGTAGATAGGTAGATAGGTAGATAGGTAGATAGAGGTAGAGGTGGATGGATGGATGGATGGATGGATGGATGGATGGATAGATTGATCGATAGATCGATAGATATATATATATATATATATATATGTATGTATAATATATATATATATACACATACATACAGACATATATATATATAATGACATATATATATATATTCCTGTTTAGGTTCAGCCATCCAAGTATCTGTCTGATGCTTCTCTGCATCCTTTTCAGTACTTGTTGGTATCTATAGCCAGGCCATCGAGCAATTTTTACCTCTTGATACGCGGGATTTCCATGGATATCCGGGACATCCCAAATGACCATCCCCTTCATATACCCCCCAAATGTCTCTAGTAATCAAACATGCTTTGCTGGAAAAATCCCAGTGCTATCACCGGTGTCTTTCCCAGCAGCCAACGGATCCCCACCTGGTTGGATCTTCTTGCGAAGTTTCGGCGCCTTCTTCTCGACCTTGGGGCGGATGGCTGTTGAGGTCACTTGATGCTGTTGGTTGATCTTGGGCGATGCTGGGAGATCTTTGAGGTCTGTGATTTTGGCCTGCCAATCCTGGCTTGTGCGTGCTTCCCACATGGCATATGTAAAGCCGCTCAGCGATCCCAGACACAAGAAGAGTGTCACAGCCGTCCCGTGTGCAACAAAGATTGTGAAACAAGTAAGTTTTAGTACGGTCTTACATTTCCGTGTGGCAAAAAAATATTCCGTTCTCATCAATTCTTCTTAAACTTGTGCCATATGCAATAAGTCTCATGCAAAAGCACCCAAGCTTGCCCTCTTGACTGCATGGCCGTGAAGATCATAAAGCTGGCAGACAATTTGGACCATGACATTTGACTCCATGACATATTGTGTTTGACTCGCGTTGAATCAGGTCAAAACTCTGCATACCCGTATATACTCGTATATACCCAATATCTACCCCATGAAAAATCTTGCAGATCTGGTGGAATTGTTCGGGTATCTCAGAATCGGAGCCAAGATGCCGTGGGCTTCACTGACTTGACCTTCTTCTTGTTGCAAATCTTCCTCAACGCCGGTCACCAGAGTCAGGGAGGAAGCTGCTCATTGATGGATTTCGGGGATGGATTGACGGGGCGCCAATTTCAATGCGTCATTTCAATGGCGAAGATGGTGGTGAATCTTGAAATTTGGGGGTATCCTATTTTCATCTAGTGAACTCAGCCGTAAAAGCAACGAGGATAGTCAACAGGAAGGAGGCAAAATCAACTATAACCGGTACAAAATGTAAGATTTCCCCTAGCAACCGCAAGAATGATATTGCATATATTTACTGGGGGCAATGCAACAACAGGGTGCAGTGAAACCAAATCAACCCAGAGAGTACAGCAACAATTATTGGATACAGTACATAATATGCTACAGCAAAACCTCAATCAGGATATATAGCCACATCCTATGACAAGCATTTGAGATGCGGTTATGATACTCTCAGCCAGCAATACTGTAAGTCCAAAATGTCCTTGTGTGATCAACCATGGCAATTGGGGCCCAATCATGCAAGGAATCCAAAAACATCCAGAAACATACACAAACAATGTGTATACAGTATATATATATACATAATACATATAGTCATATATATATATCATAAAATTATAAACTATAACTTTATAAATATGTGGTGCACAAGCTCAGTGACCCACTGCTTTGACACTCAAAATGACCAGCCATTTGTGTATTTGTTTTAATCTATACCAATTGAAATCATCATTCCAAGATGCTATTCACAATGGCATAGATGATTAGGTATACCAAATGGTATGCTATTCCAAGATTGTGACCATTATTCACAATGCTATTTGGTATACCAATGTATAGTATACCATTTGAAGCTACTGTGCCAAGTTTACCCACATGAAATGCGGAGATACGGAGAGGTTCCTCCCTTTGTAAAAATCAACCAACCGGCGGCAATCGAAAAACTTGGGACATCATCATCTGTGGGTAAAGCTCCATGTTCGATGGCTTTCCCGACCAACATCTATCCAATCTATCCCTTGCGGCAAGACTCTTCTGCCTACTTCGCTGCTGACCGGCCTGTCCCATGGCTTCAGTGTGCAGAAACTGGGGCGGTGGGAAGGAACCCTGGAGCCGCAGCGGTGGTATCCTGGAAGTTTTCCGCCCCTTGCTGCAGGGTAGCAGTGACGACCTCGCGGTAGTTAGGCCATTGGTCCAAGAAACACGGCTAAGACGTGAGACTGGAAGTGTCCAATGTGTCCAAAATTTGGAACGGCTGGGCCCGGCTGGGCATTGAAGTTTGACAAGTTGACCCCGTTTTTCAATCGGTTCATTCAGTTCATGACATTGATACAAACGTATTCGACGTGATATGACATCCTTCACACTTTTGTTGCCTTCGCAAGCTTGGGATTCTTTGCCCCAACTGGCTTGCCCTCATCTCCCGGCATCAGCCAGGGCATGGTTGGAGACCCTGTGGCGACCTGGCGAAGCAATAAGGTGGGCCGTGATGAAGTGTGCAATTCATCACTGGCTAATAAGTGGAAAATAGCTGGTAGAACTAATTATATGTAATAGCTGAGTAATTCTAATATGTTGTAACCTGTACTGAAATCACTCAATAAACTGACGCAGTGAGTTCCCTTTTATCGACAGGTTACACCAAGTCGAACGATCCAGGTCGGGCTGGGGATAATGTGGGATCATGACGTCCTCGCATCACGTTTCCTGAGCAGTCCTCCACATGAACAGCAGTCCTCCATGTCTGGGACTTCCGAATGGTTCATATGGAATATGTATGGAATATGTATGGAATATATATGGATATATGGAATATATATGGAATATGTATGGAATATATATGGAATATATATGGAATATATATGGAATATATATGGAATATATATGGAATATGTATATATATATATATATATGGAATATATATATATATGGAATATATATATATGGAATATATATATGGAATATATATATATGTGGAATATATATATATGGAATATATATATATGGAATATATATATATATGTATATATGGAATATATATATATATATGGAATATAGAATATGGAATATGGAATATATATGGAATATGGAATATGGAATATCATTGTAACATCATTTCTGTGCAGAAATATATTCCCTATATTTCCCTACTGATTCCCCAAATACCCCCCAACTTTCTGGACCCAAACCCATTCTGGGGTATCTTGATCTATATATTGTCCCTTAACCATTCTGCATCCATCATTCAATGGATGTGAAGGAGGCAACATATACGGGCCCGGAAACCCTGGCTTTCACAATCAAAGCTGGTTGGTGGCTTCAACTCCTCTGAAAAATATGAGTTCGTCAGTTGGGATGATGACTCCCAATTAATATGGAAAGTCGTTTTATCCATTCCATGGTTCCAGTCACCACCAACCAGAAAGATATGGGGTTCCTCACAAGTCAATCCATTGAATCATGGGCCACGGGATCCAAAAATCCGCTTTTTCCCATCGTGGCAACGGATGTCATGGACTCGATGGACTCGGGTGAAGGATCTACCTGAAGCTGACATGCCGGGGTGGTGCCAAAACCTGTTCACCTGAACAAGGCTGGCGTCTTTTGTATGTTGTGCAGATACCTCTGTAATGTGTGTATATATATATACCCTTGGGGGCGGGGGTTCCTCGAGGGGGGAAGGGGTGGGGTGGGGTGGGGTGGGGTGGGGTGTAATAACGTTCATGTAACTTGCGTGAAGGGGTGGGGTGGGGTGGGGTGGAATGTAAAAACGTTCATGTAACTTGCGTAGAATTGGAGGCGATGTGCATGCTACGTGGATGTTACGGTCATTCTAAAGTCATGTTATGTACTTCTCAGGCATATGCCATGTTACGCTAGTGTAAGTTCTCTTGTAATTGTGACGTCTACGTCATGCTACGCTAGTGTAAGTTATCTTGTACTTGTCACGCATACGTCATGCTACGCTAGTGTAAGTTCTCTTGTACTTGTCATGCATGAGTCATGCGGGGGGAAGGGGTGGGCTGCGGTGGGGTGGGGTGTAATAACGTTCATGTAACTTGCGTGAAGAGGTGCGGTGTAAAAACGTTCATGTAACTTGCGTAGAATTGGAGGCGATGTGCATGCTACGTGGATGTTACGGTCATTCTAAAGTCATGTTACAGTATGTACTTCTCAGGCATATGCCATGTTACGCTAGTGTAAGTTCTCTTGTAATTGTGACGTCTACGTCATGCTACGCTAGTGTAAGTTATCTTGTACTTGTCACGCATACGTCATGCTACGCTAGTGTAAGTTCTCTTGTACTTGTCATGCATGAGTCATGCGGGGGGAAGGGGTGGGCTGCGGTGGGGTGGGGTGTAATAACGTTCATGTAACTTGCGTGAAGAGGTGGGGTGTAAAAACGTTCATGTAACTTGCGTGAAGGGGTGGGGTGTAAACATCGCAACGTTCTAGCAGTGCACTATGTAAGCAAAAAGCCTGGTTTGGAAAGTGTCTTGAATGCACTCGCACGCTTCAAGGAGTTGGCAATGAAAAGTTGCCGGCAGCCTGGTTTGTGCCTTCTATAGTGGTTGATATGTCTTGTACTAATGCTTTTGTATAAAAACAGAAAAACAGCTGACTCACAGCACTCGGAAATTTTGATGATATGCAAAATCACTGTGAATTACCAATGAAAAACAACATCACATCAAAATACCTGTGGAAACACAGTATATTATACCCTTTTCCAATGATCTTTGATATAGCACAAAATGTGCACCTCGTAATTCCAATGGAGAAAATAAGAACACCAAAAAAAACATATTGTGATGGTCCATAATTGACTTCAACTTCCACGGACGAAAAAAAATTGATCCGTAATTGAAAGACATCAACAATGAAAAGAACGACATGAAAAATCTCCATTTTACCACAGTGAAACACTGTTTTTTCTCCAATTCAATGATCCTGATTGACGTCCTCTCGGGGAACCTCCTCCCCCTGCCGTATATATATAATTATATAATATTATATAATTATAGAATTAAATATGCTAGTAAATCATACAAGTATCATGATTTCATGAAAGAGATACGCTGGGCTGTACATTTGCATCCTGAGTCATGTTTCGTGCATCTTTTAAGGTGTGTTTGCTTCAAAATTCACCCATGTTCCTTATTTGAACCTTTCTTGCTTTGGAATTTTGCCCTTGCATTCACTTGTGTCGACCCCTGCATTGAATGGGAGAATCTCCATCACATTGACATGATCCCTCTCTGACCTACAAACCTACCTGTCCGTTGCCCGTTTTCGACTGTTGCCCATCTCTTGGATGTCTGCACAGTGCTGTAACTTGCCTCTAATTTTAGTACACCACTATTTAACACTAGCCCCAAAGAGAGAACAGGCACGGACATCTCGAAATGGAGGAAACATCATCCGCAACATCCTGGAAACATAGGCACGCCTGGTCGCTCGAGACGCCGATCCAGGATGAGTTCAGCAGACGGCGGAAGGTCAAACCTGGGCATTCGGGCAGGTCAAACCGGGCGAATGGCAACCCATGGCACTGGTGTTTTAACTACAAAGTCGAGGGTCCATGGATGTCTCAATAGATGTTCATCCCTCCCAAATTCCCCCCATGGAGAGTCTTAGGCTTTCAACTGTCCAACACCTTTAATCCAGCAGAAGCACCGATGGGATATAGCCAGACTCATCATCCCAAAAGCCAGGAAGCACCCAAGTTTCACTAGCAGCAAGGAGTGTGTCAGTAGGGCGAATGTGGCTACAGTCAACCGAACATAAACAAGCTAACCACGGTGTTGTCTTCAATAAGCACGAAGGAAAAAAGTCCAACACGTCTTTTCTGGGCTGGTTGAACCCTTTTTGACGCAGCTTGGGATTGGATTCAGATCAATGTCAATTCCCCTGCTTGTCCTTGGAAGAAAACATGGCAACGCCCGCAAATCTGAACCCGGCATATTGTGCCACTGACCAAAATCCACTCAATGAATGTGTTTGGATCGTCCGTTCACACCCTAAACACGTCTGACTATTATATATGCATATATTATGAAGTGTGATGATGCTTTAATTGCCACAGCCATTTCTGCTGGGATATATCTTTCCTTTAATGTTGGTCGCATTGCACCCTCTATATCTATCCCTGCTATTGTTGTTCATCTTGAAATTTCCTGAGATTTATACAGATCGGGGAGATACACGGGTGAAGATGTCCCACTGCATCACCACATCACCCGCCGTTCGAGAAATGAGGTGATACATCGTTCATCTGGGTATTGGTCAATACAGGCATAGCCTGGTCCCAGCAAAGTGGTTCATGTTGGTATTCAACTAACTATCTAGTCCTTGGAATTCTTTGGGTGTGTTCGCACTCAAACTAATTTGAGCCAGATTCAAAATGGGTGCATGTATCCCTGATCTAGTTCTTTTTGGCTTACCGCACAAACAAATCGGCCCCATCTAAGTTGGTTGACACCAATTTCGTGGAAATGCTACCAACCTCGTAGGTAAAAAGGAACATCTATGACAACCGCTGAACGCGATTTTTTGTCCTGATGAGAATGAATCAACTCCCAGGATTGCTTCAAGTAAGGTAAGTGATACCCTCTGGTTATGACTCACATAACCATGGAAAGATCCACCATGCTATTAATCGGTAAACCATCTATTTCGATTAGGGCCATGGCTTCCATGGCTATGTTAAATAACCAGAGGGTTTTCTGAAAATTATCATTTAGAGTGAGTTTTCCCATTGAAAATGGTGATTTTCCCATTGAAAATGGTAGAATTTTTCGCATCCAAAAGGATTTCGCGGCCAAGCCTCTGATCCGTCGCGCCTTCACGGGAAGAATCTCGTGGGTCCACTGGGACCTCCCGGAGCGAAATCTACCAAGCCCTTCAGGGCTTGATGGTCTCTTCAGGTGTTGAAGGGCTACCCTCTGGTAATGACTAACGGTTTGCTATTGAAAATGGCAATTTAGTTCGTGGATTTTCCCAGCTAGAAAATGGTGGATCTTTCCATACTTATGTAAACGTTTACCAGAGGGTAAAACTGTTGCAATTGGTTCTGGCTGTCCTGAAAGGCATGAAACCTAGGACATATATGAGGACCTTTGGCAGGGTTGCCTGATTCTATGCGCAAGTTTTGAGCTTGTGGATGGGGTAGGATCACTCCCCACAAGGATTGACAGCGATCTGAAAGAAGCAGAATGACAACTAAGTACATATTGGTATTGAAACCCATGGTGACTTGGGGATCCACCATTTCAAGGAACCCCCATCTGAGGAAAAGATAGATGATCTGCAGGGAACACAGTCACGGAGTCAGACCTCTCCCCTCCTGCCTCGCTGGGCCCTGCAAACCATAGACATCCCCGGGCTGCAGCGTGATGCGCACGGCATCCGCAGACTCTGTCGGGAGGCGACATTCATCACCTGCCAGCGCCAGTTACCGATCACTGATCTAAGAGTTTTGGAGCTGAGAGTTGTAAATGATGTGTTTTGCTAGTCTATGTTGGTTGTAAAGATAAGATATACCCCATACATCCCCATACCATCCATATATGGCGTCTTTTTGCCAGCATGAATGGGTGGTGTTTTCACAATGGTTTAATGTATATATCGTTCAGTATCATGGCAATGCATGGTATAGTTTCATCATGAATATGAATGATATAATCCATTTTTCTCTGATAATGATATATAGTTGATATAGATAGTTGATATAGTTGATATAGTTGATATAGTTGATATAGTTGATATAGTTGATATAGTTGATATAGTTGATATTCCTATATATTTAATTTATTATTCCTAGACATTCCTACACAATTTCCTACAGATCCCTGGCGATCTGCCTGGCTTCACCGGCAGCGCGTCAGGCCGGACTCGCCTCCGCAGGGCTAAGTCACCTTTGGTACCCCAAGTTATGGATGGCTTATGATGCGAAAAATTTCATGAACATAATATGAAACCATCCATAGCTTGGGATGAACATAAACATGGAAATAAGATGAACATGAACATATTTCATCATATTTTCCATAATTGATGCTTTATTTCATGGAAAATCCGAAAGTAAGATGAACATTAGAAAAGGAAAATAACATGGGGGTAACCCAACTTTAGGAACTTTTTATAAACCTCCATGTACGTCTCAAGTGTTGTGTAATCCCATCCCACTAAAAAAACATAGCCTGCAGAAACCAGAATTTTCCGTGGTGCATCACACTCGTATCACCATCAGAGATTGCCTGAAGATCATGGTCGCCTCGGCTGCTAGGCTGATTCCCAAAACACGTTCGTCGAACTTCAGCAGATCGATGTGTGGCAAGATCCCCTGCAGCATGCCGCGCTCCCGAGAATCACAGGCTGGATGCTGATCCCATGATGTGACAGGATGGGGTGATAACCCAAGAACCAACCAGAAAAAGCATGTTTCCTCAGCCCAGCTTGCGCAAAAAGCTCCCATGACTTTAAGATTACTTGGAAGCATGTATATCAAATCAGATATAGACTTATAATCCAGATTGAACCAATCTGTTATGTCTGCACACCTTTATCATACTATATAACACTACATATACACCTAGAAACTCGTTGTTTCGTTTCATTCCTATCTACTCCAGGATTCCTCTCCCCGCGGCTCGCTGGGTCACCAATGCCTCACCCACATTGTAAGCGTTGACCTTGGCGAGGTGATATGGCTGGGCTTGGGAGTTCCAGTCCCAAAGCACCTACAAAACTGTCCCAAAGCATCTAGTCTACCTGGACCCAGGATACCCCGGCTTACTTTGTCGTTTTGATGATTCTCTTCTTTCCATGTATACCAGTGCATCTGCCTCTTTGCAGCATTTACCAGCGTGCTGTGCTGTGTGGTGCTTCTGCATCCGTCTGTTACATCGTTCCCTGCCTTCGTGCCGTAAGTGTCTGTTCATATGACCAAAAAAACACACAAAGACAAACACAAAGACAAACACAAAGTACCAGTAACATGTGTGTTTTGTTCCTGTCAGACCTTGGTACACAATCAAGTACCAACTGTGGGAGGCAAAGCCAACTGTTTCTTGGCTCCAACTGCAGCCAACTGCAGCCAAGTTACAATCAGCTGGTCGTATTTCACCTTCCGAAAGCCAGGAGGGGCACACCTGAGCTAGGGAGGTTGACAGATTGAGAAGCAACCGGTGCTTCCAAATGACACACGAATTGTTCATCTTGAACAGGAAAACCATCCAGAAATGGATATAATTTCATCCCAATCACGGGTCTTAATGGAATATTATCCATTGATATCGGATATCCACTGTCAGGTTGAATTCCCAAAGGAGACTTCCCACCAAAATCTTCCTCCCCGGGTTGTGGGTGGTTGGCCTTTCTCTGGTACAAGAAAACACTGAGAGACCAACTGGAAATAGGAATGAAGGATTGATCCAGCGATGGAAAAGCTTGGTTTGGTAAGGGATGTTGAAGGGTCCCCAATCCAAACAGCCCCTTCCGCTCCATCTTGCCTCTTCGCCAAACGTAGGGCCCAGATCGGCAGATCTCCGAAACGCATGGCTTGGTTCTGGTGCTGTAAGAGCCTCGCGGCCCTTCTTTCCACCTTGCGACCCTTCTCTCCTCGCAGGCTGCCATGGTTTTTCAGCACCACCAGCCCCGGCAGTGGCCGCAACAGCATCGCACGTTTCGCTGGGCAGCGGCAGCAGAGGGTGCCGAAACGCGGCATGGACAAATGGCCTGTGCTCCACGATCCCAATTCCAAAGGATGATCATCCTTTTTCCTATTTCAATGGCCACAGGAAGACCAGGGTAGACCCTATTTTTGGGCAAACCCACTGAGGCACTAAAGTGTTTTTAGCAAACATGGGTTGGGGTGGGGTGGGTGTGGGATGTTAACGTTCATGTGACGCTGATGATGTTCGCTGCTCGTGGGGATTGGGTGGGGCTCGTGGGGGTGGGATGTTAACGTTCATGTTACGCTGATGATGTTACGCTGCTCGTGGGGGTTGGAGTGGGGCTCGTGGGGGTGGGATGTTATATAACGTTCATGTTACGCTGATGATGTTACGCTTCTCGTGGGGGTTGGGGTCGGGTGGGGTGGGATGTTAACGTTCATGTTACGCTGATGATGTTACGCTGCTCGTGGGGGTTGGGTTGGGGTGGGGTGGGGTGGGATGTTAACGTTCATTTTACGCTGATGATGTTATGCTTCTCGTGGAGGTTGGGTTGCGGTGGGGTGGGATGTTAACGTTCATGTTACGCTGATGATGTTATGCACATAGATGTCCTATTCCCATGGGTTGGTTGATTAAATTTAAAATTTGTTTTTTCCTTGGTCCCTAGGTAAATGATGGTAGATGGAACACCCAAGGAGCTGTGCAACAAGCATAAGCTCACTCAAGATGTGAATGGATCCATCCGAGACTACGTGTTTGCGTTTGTTTGTCGCACAAACCGGGGCAACGCAAACACGTTGAAGAAGCTGGCTGACTTGGCCTCCACGTGCTAAGACAAAAAAGTCCGTTTTTTTTCAAAAACGTGTGTTGCACATGGATGCTAAACATGGGTAGAACTGCGAATTCATAGCCTCAAAGTCATGCAAATACCATCGAAAATGGATGATGCTTTTCAAAGAGAAAACAGAAACCCTGTAAGGGTTGTCGATTTTGTGCATCGACCATGCTGAGAGCTGGCAAAAACAGCGGGACCGTAACTATGACGTGACCTTGTTTATTCAGTGGATTTTAGTGGAATGATGGCGGATTTATGGCATCTGCAAAGACCCGCCCGTTGAAGTTCGTCAATTGTCATCCCATCCTTACAAGCCATATGTATCAGGTCCTGCTGCAATGAAACGATCTCAAACAGAATCAATCTTTCAATAGATCGGCCGATCGGCCAATTCTAAGATCTGGATTTGAGAATATAGATTCAATCAATCTTCCGAAAATTCAGACTATAGTCTATAGTTTCAAAAAGCATCAAAAAGCTAGGAGATGGATGATGGGCCGATTCCCTGTGACACCCTACCATCCACACCACCCTACCATGGGCCAGTGGCCGTAGTCGTGCCACTTCGGCAGATTGATCCGGACTTGCCGTTCACGACGCCGGATGGCGGCAGCCAAACAGGAGCCAGAACATCTTTGTTTCTGTCTCCCAAAGAATTGTTGGAATGCTGCTTTCCTGAGATTTTGCGAAGACATCTACAAAAGCACCTATCTCAAAGCACTACTTTGGGCAATTGAAACATGCTAACTGCTGCCCAGTCACATCAGTCTGGCCCTTTGTGCAGTACTGAAGCTGTTGGATTCTTCGCTGTCCAATGAACGCTTGGAACCCAGAGATTGAAACCAGCCTCCTTCCAAGAGCGCAGGACTGGGGTTTGGGGCAAGCTGGTGTTTCAAGCATCTTCCAAGATTTTGAGACACCCAATGAAAAGTTCAAGAGCACTGACACTGATGTGCTGCGAGTTCTCCTAATCCCATCCCCCTACCATTCCATGGTCACAAATATGTAGCTTCGTCCCTTACATTCACTATGATTTTCCGGGGAATGAACCGGTGAACCGTATTAGGGGGAAGGGGATCTGTTCAACAGTTGGTTAGCTGTAACCCATAATTATATCCCATTCATATCCCATTCATATCCCATGCATATCCCATCAAATCATTATATTCTATTTCAATATATGTCACGCTTAACCATGGTTCATCACCATTTTTCACGATTTAATCCCATCAAATCACGATTTCTTCACATTTGTTCATGGTTTTCCACCCATTTTCGCTGCTCCTGATCTCCTTCTCAGGATCCCACCCCTCCACGGCAGCTTCAGCGTTTTCAGCGTCCGCCGGGCCATGGCCTCGTCGCCGCGCCACTGCTGCTGCGGCCCCTGGCCGAAGAGACGCAGCGACAGCGCCGGGCCGCGGGCCGCTGCCCGTGGCGGGTGCTGCAGCAGTCGTAGGTCCTCAGCAGCCTGGGCCAACCATGACTGGGGGGTGAAAAAAACACGTAAAAAAAATGGTGATTTGGGGGATTGTTTATGAAACTTGGTTTACCAAATGGTTTACCATATGGTGAATTATCCAACAGCTGGAACTCTGACGCTTCTACGCACTGAAACATGGTGCTTTCTAGCCCTGAAAAATGAGTCGGTTTGGAGAATGGTTCCACTTCAGAGATGAAAAAAACAAACCATATGTGGCACCACTGGCCACTAGTCTCTGAATGTCTCTGACAGTCTCTAACATGTTTTGATGCTTACTATTCCCATGAGAGCTTGGTAAATGGCCATTGCTGGTAGAACAACTTAGTGTTCATCCTCTGCAAAACTGTGTCATGGGGAGAATAAGGTATTCGACCGATTCAATCATTTCATTTTTGGGTGTACCAGGTATTCCGGTTTCAGACAGACCCAAAAGGTTCCTGTATGATCCATGCAGTTACCCCCCAAAAAAAAGTGATGTACCGATATGTACCGCTATTTATATATCATATTATATCATCGTATTAGTATGTATTAGTATGAGTGTACTATTCTAATCTATTCTAGCTGTTTGATTCTTTTTAGGGGTTGCCACCAACATCCCAAGCCTCTGGGTTCCGCGTGAACCACACGTTCAAAGACACCCGGAGACCACCTGCACAGGCTCTCGGATTCAGGTCAAACGTGATAACGTGATATAGAACAACCCACCTTCGGACACCCAGGTCAGCTTTTCTTCTTGCTCCCGCTTGCGCTTCAACTCTTCAAGCCGTTCCCTTTGGGCTTTTCTTCGTTTTTGCGCGGCTTTATGCCGCTCTTTCTCCAGTAATTGCGCTTTCCTTTCGAGCAGAAGCCCCCATCTGTGAAGATGTTGCCTCACAGCGGACAAAGCCTCATCAAAGTCACGCCTTTCATTTGGTGGAACATAATAGTGAGATTGTAGCCTCTTTGGTCGATGCTTGATCTTGTCCTGCAGTGTCATGTGCTGACTCTCCCAAAACTGCAAGTGCTTCTCCCGCATGGAAGCATGTGCACCGTAGCATGCACGGATTCTGCGCAGGATATCCTCAGGGTCAACCCCTGCTGCTTGCCACATGTCGGCTATTGCCCTTTGAAAGTGCTCCCAGGCCTCTTGCAAGTGCTCAGGACTGTACCACCAAAACATGCTGCTTCTGCCCCGGTTTCTGAAGTACTGGCGAAAAGGACTCATCAACTTGCGCAGCTTTCCCACTTCTTCAATGCTGCGAACAGTAGGGGAGTGCAGCACGAACCGCGGCCCAAGAACAAAACCAGCAGGTTGATAGACGCCGAAGCGAAGCTGGAGTTGTTCAACATCTCTACCATGCTCTGTTGCTGATGCCAGCAGCGCAACTTGCAAGCGTTCCTCAAAGCAGGTATCACTTCTCGTGCTTTCTTGCATCTTCTGCTTTACGGTAGTTAGAACTACCAGGTATTCAAGAGCAGTCTGCAAGTCGCAGTTACTCCCAGTGCGGAGCTCAATTCCGTCGAAGCAAATCCGGGGTATGTAGGAGGAAACACAGGTTCCAAAAAGGGTAGTTTTGTTGATGGCACCACCCGTCCTGCGTTGCCGCTTTTTGGAAGAAGACGTTTTCCCTTCTGATTTCTGCCTACCAGCCGTTTTGGAGATCTTTGCCGGCTTCGGGCAACCTGCTGACAAAGCAAGAGATGAATTTGGCGGATCCCCTGGGCCGGTCGCAGTCGCTTCGGTAACTGGCTGAGTTTCTGCTGAAGGAGTGTCTGATACATCCACCATCCACTTCTCCAGAATGAGCCGCTGTTTCTGCGAAAAGTCTTGCCTAATCACATCATTGCGTACATCTCGAGGTAAGCTTCGCAACAAATCACGGATTCTTACCAAAAGCTTGGCCTCGTGGGACAAAGCTGATGCAAGCTGTCGAGCAGGGTAAGTAGTGCCACTGGATGTTGGAGCGGACTTCCTTGCTGCAAACGGCTGTCGTCTATCAGTGGCCTGGTTTCGTTTCGCAGCCCGCGCGTCGTATTTTCTCCGTGCCTCAGGGTCGGCCAAGGTCTCAAATGCCTGGTACACTAAATGAAAGGCCTCTTTGCTGCCCCCTTTGTCCGGATGGACGTGCAGGGCCCGCTTTTTAAAGGCCAACTTGATTTCCTCGAGGGTAGCATGCTGATCGACCTGCAACAAATCATAGAAGGAGCGCACCATGGCTCACCATCAAGGCCATCTGTGGGGACACCCATGAATGTCCAGCGATTCAAGAAACCCAGTGACAAAGTTGTGACCATTGTTAAAAATATGTAATGGAACCACCAGGTAAATCAAGCAAGGGCATATTCAACTGGAATGACTGTTTCAACAGATTGTCAATGGAACGTTCGTGGTGAGCAAGATCCCTAGAGAAGCCAATCTGAAGCAGCTTCTCCACCATGTCTTGAGATTGCATGTCTCCTTGCACTGATGCTTTACTACTCAGGCATCAGGCGCTAAAAAGCTCCGGGCAGGGCCCTGGGTCCCATCATCATCCGGCCATCCAGCGCGGTTTCTTAGACATCCTCAAGACTTGGTGGTTACCTAAGGCAATAGATTGATTGAAAAAAAAACATGTTCAGCTACTCATGCAATGTGATAAGATGGTATATTATATGTACGTATATTTGCATATATATATACACACATCATTCTCACTACACTATATATATAGATATAGATATGTTGTAAATTATTTTTGATACATTTATATCATATATATATATACACATACATCATTATATATTCCATTCTGTTGGTACCAGGCGTTTCTGAACCCGGACATCAGGCCTGTGACCGCTGTCAGACCGTGCGGAACATCTGCTCCGAAGATGGCCGCGTGGCCTGCCTGCGGCCTGGTCCATCCCAATGATGTGGAATCATTAATCACTAGTGGATGAATTAATAAGTGGTTATCAATAATTTAGTGATTAGTAAGTGGTTATCATTAATCATCAAATTGGGATGAAAATTCAATAGTGATCATAGAAAAAGAAATATCATTATGTGTTTATAACCTACTAAGCTAATTGGGGATGTTTCATATGTATATAAGATTCTTGAATGTGCATCCCCAATAGTAGGAATGAGTAAGCGGATGTAAGTGGTATATAACCTACAGTACCAAGCTAACTGGTGCTATTCCATATGTATGTGATCGATCGTATGGTTGTTACAAGTTATTGCCCACTTACCACTTACTGAATGGGATGCACCAACAACCAGCTGAGTGTTGTATCGACCAGTCATTTAGTAGATTTTGCTTGGTCCAACAGCCCTTTGCTGTAGGAAATCTGAATGCAATGAAACAGTCATTCACTTTTGTTGTAAAGGGGATGCGGGCCTAAGTCACCTGTAAAAATCGTCCAACTTCTGGTGGCCGCACCTCATGGCGTTTTTTTCGTCGTCAAAGAAGAACTCCCCGCCCTGGAAATCACGTTCGCCCTCGTTGAGCCACACCACCACGGTGACGTGACGCTGCTGCAGGTAATCCTGCAAGTCATTTCATCACTGGTTGGTGGTATACCTACCCCTCTGAAAAATATGAAAGTCAGTTGGGATTTTGACATTCCCAATATATGGAAAAAAAACATGTTCCAAAGCACCAACCAGATCATATCAATTGTGCCCCCATCATAAAAACCCAATGCTCCGCTGTTGGAACATGTTTTTTCTGTATCTCTCATTCAGCAGTAGAGTCCAAACAAATGATACTTTGAGTTACGTAAGTTAAGTACAGACTTGAGATAGTTGGAGTCTGAGTTAAAATAGACATAAGTAGACCATGTCGATCCATGTCATGTGTGAAACCGATCAGGGACTCCCAAAATCTTTGGGCCACCCCTCGGGTTCACCCAGTTTCGGCGATGTCCAACCCCGATGGCCTGACAATTGTCGGTATGCACCGGTAGCCCTGCACCGGGGAACCAGCCCACCGTCACCGTCGTCTCTGGAAACAAACCTCCGAAGTCGTCAAAGATCTCCTGCTGGTACTGGCAGAAGATTCGTTACAGCCAGCATGTGCCCTCTGGTAATGTAACATAGCTATGAAAATCAGTTTTTTGATGGTAAATTATGGTAAAACATCAAAAATCATCATAAATTCATTTTCCATAGTTATGGTAAATAACCAAAGAGCAACATCATGTTTGATTTTCCCAATGAATATGTTGGAGTGTCCAAGAGCATATGTGATCCCTAAATAGCGGGTCTGCATCTATCCTTGGTGCTTGCCAACACCCCTTTTGGATGCTTTGGGTTGATTTAGAGGTCCCCAGTCCCCAATGCGTGTCAACTTGCCATTTGCATTAAACTTCTGCGCAATCTCCTGTCAAATTGCAATAATGGACTGTTCCACCAATTTAATGGTTTTCATAGCTCTTGGTTTACTTCTCATCAACATATCTGGGGAATACCCAGCACGGTTGCGCCTACCAAAGGAACCAACATCCTGGCAACTGTCCTGATCTGAAATCAGATTTTCATGAAGCCATCGTTCAAACCAATATTCTACTGATATTGTTTTGATGGCCGCTTCCTTTTCCAAACCCATTTGTGGATTTTTTGGAAGATCATCTTGAGTGGTTCCCATTCCCCACATTTCTTGTCATCCAACCGTGTCCGACCTGGCAATGGGTTCGGGGTTTGATTGAAATATGGTACCCGCATCCTCTGGTCCAGCCTCATGTTCCTTGTCAAAACAACGATTTGGAAGCATACTTCATTTCAGACCAACACACATGTATATGGTTTATGGTCATCCCACCATCAATAGGAATTCCTTCTAATGGCTATATTTACCCCTATCAAAATGGCTGGATGACAATCCCCTTTCATGGAAAAATGATATCATAGATGAAACAAAAACTATCTCATTTAAATTACTTTACTTCGTGTGATCCCCACCATGACATTTATACATGTTCTTACTGGCACATCTTCTGGCATTCTATCTGACATATCTTCTGACATTCTATTTGGCATTCTATCTGGCATATCTTCTGGCATATCTTCTGGCATTCTATCTGACATATCTTCTGACATTCTATTTGGCATTCTATCTGGCATATCTTCTGGCATATCTTCTGGCATTCTATCTGACATATCTTCTTCTATTTGGCATTCTATCTGGCATATCTTCTGGCATATCTTCTGGCATTCTATCTGACATATCTTCTGACATTCTATTTGGCATTCTATCTGGCATATCTTCTGGCATATCTTCTGGCATTCTATCTGGCAAATCTTCTGGCATTCTATCTGGCATTCTATCTGGCATTCTATCTGGCATATATTCTGACATATCTCCTGGCATATCTATCTGGCATATCTTCTGGCATATTTTCTGGCATTCTACCTGGCAAATCTTCTGGCACTCTATCTGACATTTTATCTTCCTACATGAGGTCCGGCAGGGAACACTTGGCGTGGATACTCGCGGTTGATGTCCGGCAGGGAACACTGGGCGTGGATGGTCGTGGTTGAGGTCCGGCAGGGAACACTGGGCGTGGATGGTCGTGGTTGAGGTCCGGCAGGGAACACTGGGCGTGGAGGGTCGTGGTGGAGGTCCGGCAGAGAACACTGTGGATCGCGAGTCGCAGTTGAGCAGGAGGACGAGGAGGACAACGAGGACGACGAGGACAACGAGAGGACGACAAGGATGACAAGGAGGACGAGGAGGACGAGGAGGACGAGGAGGAGAGGAGGAGGAGGAGAGGAGGACGAGGCAGGAGGAGGAGGCAACTGACATAAAATCTAACAACCCTCACCTGGCAGGTGGGGAATCACCTGCCCCATTTATGTAATACCCCAGTAGATCCCCATTATATATGCCCTGTATATCCATATTGTATCCCCATATTTCCCACTTCTTTACTATCAACGACTTGAGAAATCTCATAATTTGGTTGTAATTAAAATCCATTTAATCACATGAGTTCCCTATGGCTACAACCCATTTTATCCCCATGTTTCTCGGTAAAATCCCATCAACTCCATATCAAATCCCATTAAATCCCTATTGAATCCCTGTTGAATCCCATTAAACTGCACAAAATCCAGATGTCAGTCTTAAATCCCCATCAAATCCCAAGTAAAATCCCCATGTTTCTTGGTAAAATCCCATTAAATATCCATCAAATCCCTATCAAATCCCCATGAAATCCCTATGAAAATCCCCACCTCCGCCGCATCCCTCAGCAGCTGCCTGGCCCGCAGCAGTGCGGGCCAGGCCCAGCCGGGCGCACTTGCCAGGCAGCTGGCGGTGCAGCCGGGCCTGCCGGGTCAAAAAACCATGGTTTTTCATGTGATTTAACCATGAAACCCTGGTGATTTAATGGGATTGAACCACTGAAAATGGTGATTCAATAGGATTTGTCCACTAAAAATTGTGATTTAATGGGATTTAACCACCAATTATCCCGGCAAGAGACCCCAAACAGTGCGGGGGGAGTAAAAGCATAATGTAGTATAATGTTGATGATGATGTTCGTTCATGTTGATGATGATGCTGATGATGAGGGGAATGTTGTTGTTGTTGTTGTTGATGATGATGATGATGGTGATGATGATGATGATGATGATGATGGATGATGATGATGATGATGATGATGATGATGGTGATGATGATGATGATGATAACGATGATAACGATGATAACGATGATAACGATGATAACGATGATAACGATGATAACGATGATAACGATGATAACGATGATAACGATGATAACGATGATAACGATGATACCGATGATAACGATGATAACGATGATAACGATGATAACGATGATAACGATGATAACGATGATGATGATGATGATGATGATGATGATGGTGAGGAGGAGGAGGAGGAGGAGGATGGTGATGGTGATGGTGACGGTGACGGTGACGGTGACGGTGATGGTGATGGAGATGATGATGATGATGATGATGGTGGTGGTGGTGGTGGTGGTGATGGTGATGGTGATGGTGATGGTGATGGTGGTGATGATGATGATGAGGAGAGGAAGATGATGAGAGGAAGATGGCATTTTGATGTTGAGGAGGAGGAAGATGATGATGTTGAGGAGGAGGAAGATGATGATGTTGAGGAGGAAGACCGATCCCAAGACGGGGAAGCACACTTCGTGCGAGCCTGCGCAGTCGAAGTGCACATGGAAATTTCACAAGAGCCATTGTGTGTGTGGACATTTAAAGGGAAAATGCCAAACGCCCCGGATACCACCTCGATTGAACACCGGGCCTTAACACTTGCCGTAAGAACCCCTCAGTGTGGCCACACTGTTTGGGGAAAAATGGTGATTTAATGGAATTTGATTTATCCACTAAAAAATGTGACTTGTGAATTGAATGGGATTTCACTATTTAAACCAAGGAAACTTTCACTGGGATTTAACCCATGGAAAAATATAGGAATGATAGACTCAAAATGGGATACGAGTGTATCTAAACTTTTCTGTACAACATAATATTGATGTTTATCCATAAGACTGGAGTTAACCCTGATCAGATTGTATTTATAAATGCAGTTTAAACATCATAAAATGATCAACAACAGGATTTTCAACAATGGATAGTTACAAAAGTTATTGATTTTTACTGTAAACTATACCCTACATATCTCATGTACTTAGTAGCCTTTTGCACTCAGTTCACAATCAAGTGGTGTTCATATGCATATATGCTTGGGATATTATACAGTTTCAAAATTTCCCTTACCCTACATACACCAACTGCCTCTAGATATGGAAGATCTGCCAGATCATGTAAATTTTGTCAAACAATATAGATACAGTATAGATAATTAAGTTTGCGATGATGCAGACCATTTCCAGTAACCTGCAGAAATGGACTGGGCATGGAGCCAGCCATCACACGGGCGTTGCGCGGAAGTTCAACACTTCACCAGTGTCTAAACACCAAAAACTTATAAATTTAAGACATCCTAAAAATGGGACATACATGGTCACATGATGTCACACGGTTATTAAATCTTATTCATCAAAATCCCAGGCACCCTGCAGTTCACCCGCAAAAATCTTGATCCATCCCGACATGAAAAGATGAACTGAACTTACGTCTCCGAAATGGGAACCATCCTGGAAAAGAAGATCAACCTTGGGGATAAAGCAGACTCTGTATTAATTAATTAATATATATATATATATGTATACACACGCAATTAATATATATATATATATGTATGTATACACACGCAATTAATATATATATATATATTTATATGTATACACACGTAATATACAAGTTGATATTTCCGAAGACCATCTGTGATATGATGTTCATGTTTAATCATGTCTATG